GCAGGCTCGGGTCGAAGGAAGGAAGACGGGAAGCTCGAGGGGACACCCTTTTTCACAACATATTCTAGATGCCGACTTGCCTCAAGGGTTCAGAGAGCTTAATATCTGGTACGACGGGTCAACTGATCCCTCCCGACATCTTAAAAGTTTCGAAAACATGGCAGTATTGCACCGATACAACGACCCCGTTCAGTGTCGAGCATTCCTGACGACCCTGCGAGGGCCCGCGCAGGATTGGTTTCATCAATTGCCCCCGGGGGCCGTCAGGGATTTCGATGGATTTAGCTCGAGTTTCCTAAATCAATTCGCAAGTGTAAAAGCCCAAGAAAAGTCGTACCTTACTTTGATAGGTATGCAGCAAAAGGAAGGAGAATCATTGAGGGACTACGTGGCGAGGTACACGAGGGCATGTGTCGACGTCCCCTCGGCCACTGAGGAGATCAAGTCGGGAGGACTCACCCGTGGGCTACTCCCAGGATTGTGCAGAAATTCCCTAGCGAAGCGGCCCGGGAGGACGTTCGATGAAGTATTGGGAAGGTGCGCCAAATACATGAATGTCGAGGAAGCCGAAGCTGACTTTCTGCAAGCAGCTAAGCCAAAAACTGAGCCTCAAGACAAGAAGAAGGATAAAAAGCTTGTCGCGACAACTGAAAGGAAAGGATCCCCAAGAACCGAGAAAGAGGGACGATCGAGGGGGTGGAGGACAGCCCAATATACTCCTCTGTCGGCCTCGCATGCAAGGATACTGTAGGTCATGGAGAGAGAGATCCGTGATAACGTTGTCAGGTGGCCACGGACGAGAAAAGATGGGCCGACAAAACCTAAAAGTAACCTGTATTGTCGATTTCACAAAGACTACGGCCATAACACCGATGAATGTCGGCACTTGAAGAATGAAATCGAGAGACTAATCAAAGCAGGCCATCTGAAGGAGTTCGTTTATAAAGATCGAGAACGAACCAGTCGACGAAGGGAGAGAAGCAAAAGCCCTCACAAGAGGTCGAGAACACCCGATAAGGAAGAGCTTCCCCAAAAAAGAGGAGTAGTTCATATGATATTTGGAGGGCCAACTGATGGGGATTCAAACCGGGCTAGAAAAGCATATGCTCGAGGGCATCACGGAAAAACCGAAGTACAGCAGGTCGAAGAAGATCGTCCAGTGATGAATTTCGGACCAGCAGACGTGGGAGCGGTTGAGAGACCTCATAACGATGCCTTGATGATCACAGCCCAGATATCGGGCTACGAAGTCCAGAGAGTCTTTGTCGACACAGGGAGCTCGGTGAATGTGAGTTTTTTCGATTACCTCAAACGGATGGAACTCGACATTGAACTCTCACCTCTCCACACTTCACTTTTTGGATTTAATGGCTCGGAAGTCGCTCCCTTGGGGGAAACCATCCTCGCTGTCGTCCTCGGGGAAGGCGACTTAAGGAAGGTGAAAATGGTGCGATTTGTCGTGGTCGACGTCGAGTCGGCTTATAATGTGATTCTAGGAAGGCCAGCACTCAACGCATTCCAGGCAGTAGTGTCAACCTATCATATGAAGCTAAAGTTCCCTGTCGGAGACAAGGTAGGTGTCATGTACCCGGTTATGGAGTGGGCCGATTTTATGGTCTAGATATTTTATATTTTGGTATCGGGTCTTTTATGTTGGACTCATTTTATTATGTTTAGTTTTGGACCTCTATATATTAAATAGCCCATTATGTGAGTTAAGTGGTGAGTTGTGTGAGTGGCATGTGAATGAGTATAAAATGCATGTAGGAAATGATTTGCATTATGGAATGAATTAACAACTTTCACTTTCTCTCACTTATTTCTCTCTCCTCCCAAACTCTCTCTCACTCTCTCCCATTTCACACGTTTTTCTCCTTCTCTTACTATCCCAATATTTCTCTTGTCATTTTTAGTACATCTTCAAGTTTTTCATACAAATACCCAGAAAAAAAAATACAAAAATTAAAAAATTATCTCAGTTCATAACAATTGGTATCCAGAGCAGTCGATCCTCGGATGATGGCGGACGAGCTCCTTCTCGATCAGTTAGAAAGGCAACAACAAATTTTGGAACAAAAGATACAACTGGAAATTCAGAAAAGGGAGGCTCCGGAGATGAAATTGCAAAGCCAAATCGATGGGTTCAAATCAAACATCCAGGGGCTCAACTCAAATTCTCAGTTGCAGATGCTTGGATTAAATCAAAAATTGGATCAAGCCATTCAGGTAGCTGAATCCATTCAACAACTCCTTTTCAATCTTCAAAACAAAAATAAAAAAACAACAAATCCACCATTCTCAGCACCAGAACCACTATCCTTAGCCAAAAAGAAACTTACACTTGAAGCCCTCACTCATTCCCAGTTAGCCCCAATCATCACTCCTAATTTTGATCTGAAATTTCGTAGCCCTCCTGAATCTCATCCAATTTTTCATGACATATGTGAGAAAAATATTGAAGCTGAGGTGTTGATCGAAAACACAAATGGACTCTCTAAAAAAGAGATTGAACCTCAAATCACCCAGTGTGAGGCATCGTTGGGAATATCTTATGGAGATCAACCAGGAGATCTAATGAACACAACAACAGCTACCAAAGAGTCAAAAATCTTGTGGCTGCACATCCAAAGGCGAAGCACTATAGCCTCGAAGAGGCTTGGTCTCGCCGGCTTCCCAAGCATAGAGGCAGGTGTGGAGAATTACGGTCGAACCGAAC